ACTAGTCTGACTCACAGAAACACCCCCAATGAAAGAATAGACAATTCCTAGCTTTTACTTGTTGTTAAACAAATGTTTAAACAACTTTATTCAAACATATTAAATTGTTAATGCAATACTTTACATGAATTAACGGTCCAAGAAATACCAATTTTAGTTACTGTACTGGGTTAATCTCAATTTGCACAACTTGCGTTACACAACTAAATTATATTTTTTAAGATCTTATTAAGAGTAACAGTTGAGTGTTCTTATAGGATATTTTTATTCATGGAGATATTTAAAACATATGGTAACCAATGCATATCTAACTACATTACCTCCGATCATCTCCATTAGAATAGATAGGTTAAAAATTCCGAATATTTTGTTTCAGTTCATTTGAAGTGTGGTTATTTCCAAATGTAAGTGGCGCTTTAATTTGACCCTTTGTGAGAATATTTCATTACAGGACATTTCAACACAAGACATTTCACGATTATAAATGCAAAGAAATCACGAAACTTTAGTGTTTTGAAGAAAGAAACATAGAGAATCGTATCGGTAAAAGAAAGAAATTTGTGATTCTAACAGGGAAATAAACAGGCTACTCCATGACAGGCTACTAGTGGCACATCAGAGGTAGTGAGGAAAGTTTAAACGCCTTGTCCCCAGAAGCAATCTAACGACAAAGAAATTTATTGCAGCTAAAGCAGGAATTTCCCTTTTAACTGTAAGTCAGATAATTTCCATAGAGTTAGGCTTACAAAATCCATGTTCACAAGTTTATCAAAAATCATATAACGGGGTATCATATAACACATGCTGTATCTGGCTTGCAACGAGTTTTTACATTAGACGAGTCATACTTCTACCCAAGTACAACAAAATTATGGCGATTTATTAAAGTCCTGCCGGTGATAAAACATTTTAAAAATGTTAAAGAGAATGTCGCACAAGTTTTTCTAATAGATTAATGGTAGCTGAAAGTTACAATTATAATTAGAACTTAAACATATGGAAAGTCGATAAAAAATTCGAAAAAAAGCTTTAATTACTGTCACGCTAACACGTTAACAAGATTATATAACGTAAAAAATACTATCTTTGTACGAATTGAATGTCAATAAGTTATATCTTCTTCAAGACAAAGCATCCAGCTACATGTCCAAGAGAATATGCCATTTGCTCTGTGAGGTGCAAATACAAACAGGAATTCATGCTATACCATTCGCAAACATCTCCATAACCTTAGAGTTAATCAAACAGGCACGCATGATAAACATTGAAAAGCATGTAAAAAGGAGCAGAGTAATATTGACAATAGTGTATTACGCGAAAGCCTCCTTCAGTGGATACTCCATTGCATAGCTATAGTCAATAACCGGAGCCATCACACAGAACACCATCGATGGTGGAAGAAAGAGATGTAAAGTCTAAGCACTCATCCTTGTATTATTTCTTTTGTAGATCTGAAGAAGTGAAGACTTCTACTTTCTGTTTGTTTTTCATCTGTACAATTATTTGGCACTGACGAGGATGACTGCTTCCATGACCTCAACTGGCTGTGGACAGTGAATAGTAGAAAAACTTGGGACGTTGCTGACTGAATTACCTGGACCTCCCCCCCCCTTCTCCATTAAAATCTTACGGTAAGACTACTGGTTTTCACTTTAAGTAGATGAAGGAATAGGATATATCCAATAATTTTGGGTTTCTTTCACTGCAGTTATCTACCTCTAGGATTATACCTCTTGCAGGAATTAAGAAGTAACACTGTATTTGCATTACTGGACTTAGAGACCTATTTCATGTATGTAGTTTGTCTAGTCTCAGTTGCCCAGTATGCAACTTTAAAATAAACTACAAAATTGTGAAGTACCAAGGCCTTGATGGTAGTTGTCTAGGTGTTTAAATGTGGTAATTTAGTGCTAATTTAGTATTATACTATACTCTACTTTTAATACATTTTAAGTACCTAAGTGGTTAATACCATGCCCACAACTAACCATAGATAATAACTGGTAGTATAACTCGAGACTATAGGGACTGTGTCACATATCCCTCCTATTTGGCCCTGCATGGCCAGGTGGTTAGGGCGCTCGACTCGCAATCTGAGGGTCGCGGGTTCGAATCTCCGTTCCACCAAACATGCTCGCCCTTTCAGCCGTGAAGGCGTTAAGATGTAACGGTCAATCCTACTCTTCGTTGGTAAAAAGAATAGCCCAAGAGCTGGCGGTAGGTGGTGATGATTAGCTGCTTTCCCTCTAGTCTTACACTGCTAAATTAGGGACGGCTAGCGCAGACAGCCCTCGTGTAGCTTGGCGCTAAATTCAAAAACAAACAAACCCTCCTATTTTTCTGTTGTGTTCCTATCAGTTTTTACCCTGCGTGTAGTAAATACTGATCAGAAATGAAATCTCCAATTCTATCTGTGTCTAAGTTTAAGGATTATACCTCTAAGAGCTTGCTATAATTATTTTGGTGATGTTGGTAGTTATGTGTATATAGAAATATGGTTTTTCGGTTATTATATAGTTATAAAACATCTATCTAAAAATGCTGTACAGTCGTCATGATCAGAGGCTGGAAATTTAGGATAAAGTAGTAAACAATCAGTCACTTCGCTTTCAGAAAAATTATGGATAGTGAGGTTAGAAAAGAAAATGTTCAGAGTTTAAAAGAAGAAAACAAAGCTATTTACTTCACTGCAAGAATTCAAGTCAGAAAATAGATTGTGAGAAGTAATTACAGTAATGTTATTGATTCATTAATAAGGTGAATAGTAGTATGTCTTTAATATAGTCCCATGTAACTAGTTTCCTAGCATCTTTCGTCACTGATAAAAACGAAATGAACGTAGGTGAAAAATTACACATTTTATTTCTTTTTCTTGATAAGTCGTTTGACTTTTTTGATGCACATTATTCAAAGAAGAACAGCAAACGATAACATTTGGATAACTAGAACTGACAAACATTGTTAAACGTTAAAGAAGTTAAACAATTTTAAATACTTTTTTATAACTAAAGCTTTTACTATATTTTACCAGTAAAGTTATACTCGTTCTAATTCTATATTTTTTGTAAACGTCAAAGTGAAATATTGATATCAAATATTGCACGTTAACAAACAAGTGAAATCAATACGACGTCATGTGCCATTGCAACAAGACAGCGAATCTACTGTCAAAGACTGAGTGGTGAGTACACTTCGATAATTAGGATTAACTCCCAAGTTTTCCCAGTTGATCCAAGAAAGTCTTGCTGTCAGGTCTATTCAGGAAAAAAAATGAAATATGAATATTAATTAGGTAGAGATACTGAGTGTTTTTTCAAAGTCTTTTGTTTACGTTATTTTAAGGACTGTTAGATCAACGGTCATAAAGTACGCTACAGTCAATGTTTTAATATCTACCTTATTTAAGTTATAACATAAGACACGGTTAAATTAGTTTATAATGGTTATAAATGTACTTATTTCTGACATAATTTATGAAGATTTCGAATTTTTTCGATATTCGACGTAAAATAATATTCATTCACTGTAAGAAGTGGTCGTGACCAATTGGACACGTGTTTATCCATTTCATTGACTATGTGCACATCTGCAACTAAACTAAAGAAACGTACACTTCAAGTTATTGTATTCTAGAGATTAGTAACACACACGTGAGTCTACCATTGAAAAAAAAAAAGGTTTCAGTGTTTGACTAGTGGGTTTCTCAGTGAAGACTTAAATGTAGCAAGAAAAAAGAGGCGACACAGGTGGGATTTACAACTTAAAACATGAGACAACTAATCCCTAGTTGTGCTCAAAGCCATAACGACCAGGAAGGTGACATCACCTGAACCAGTTACAAATAAACTAACTTAAAATGTGCGAAAGTTCTGTCTTCTCGTGTGGCTTTCGGTCAGCAACCATACAAGGTCAACTTGGTGGTCATTATGGCATGGCCAAACACAACAAGGAGAAAACAGAAACAGTTTAGATTGGAAACAAGTCTGAAATCGATTGGCCGGTTCAAACCAGAACTAAAGGTAAAATAGTAATAAAAAATTGTAATATAAAAAATACGTTTATGATATACATTTACTACAAGGTTAACAAATTGTCCAGAGATTTATCGAGGCAACCACTAACTTCGAAACTTTGTCTAAAGTACTAATGGAAGAAGACCACTTTTCTCTGTGTAAAGGCTATTACAAATTAAATTTGGGGTATTTATCAAGTCGTATAGGATAAGCTAATGTTCATCGCTTAAGCTTATATTACAACTGTTCGCTCCATGAGCATTTTCGACAGAGTTAACAGAGAATTAGTTGACAGAAACTAACCCACTAAAGTTTAACAGTTATAACTGTTGTTATGAAGGAACTTACGGAATGGGTCAAAGCATTCAGTACTTAGATATTATTAGTGAGTTAGTGTAATAAGGGTAATTAAAGATATTGTGAATAACTTGTTTAATGCACGCACAACTCACTGTAAGTTCTGTAACTTTGATTAATTTAATTATAGGATTTATACATTACAGTTTACGTAACCCGTTTCTTATCATTTATTTACTTCCTTCCCCTGTATATGCAGAAGTATTATGTCTTCTGCTATATTTGGTATATCGTCCAGTTACAGACAGATGATATGGCTAAACAGTAACACATCTCAGAAACCATTTATTTCTCAGCCCAAACTATTTAACGTTACATTGTCAAAGTATAGAAATCGGGTTTCATTGGTCACTAGCCAATACATGGGAGGATTATGTGGAAAGTTTGCCTTCTCTGTGTCACGTTTTCTTAGCTATGGGGTTTAGTCTCTCTCGTATATTTGGTCAATTTTTGTTATTGTTGGATGTGCACTACCGCAAATACATAAAGTTTCGTGTATTGGTAAGCTGTATGGGTCTCAGGTGAAAATAACTATTTGTGTATGTATTTTGTAAGTAAATATAGATATTTCATTTTTTTTTATAAATTGTAGTTTTAGTTTCATTAACGTTATTAGTTAAAGTGTTTAGATACTTTCGAGTATTATTATTATTTTAGACTTAACAATCTTGAAACATGCGTAAATAATTTTGTATCGATAGCGTGTGGATTTTGGACTAACCTATGAATCCCCTAAGCCGGCCCAACCTCGTGAGATATTATTGAGATTACATCCGAAAATATTGTTAACGCAAACGTATCTAACTGATGTTTGAAAGCATTTAATCATTCTTAGTGATATTTTCCTTGTGTATTGAGCTATGACGTTGTATTCTCTTTCGTCAGTTTTTCGTATAAAATTAGCATCCTCGATTTTAAGTTACTTTTTAGTTCTGATCTGTATAGTTAGCTTACTTTTGTTCAGAAGGTATGAATAATTCGTATACGTGAATTTTATATATCCATAATTAGATTAGGTCTAGCACAGAATTATGGCTGTTTGACAACATATTACCGGTTTTCAGTACTAGGGTAAATCTATCTAAATAAAAATACGTAAATTGCAAAAGATGCAAGAGAAATTCAGACTTATTATCATTGTTTTTTGTTTTTTTCATCTATTGATTGACCATTTAATATGCCTTTTAATAAATATAGAAACTTTTACAATGAAACCTTTGGCTTTATGATAACTAAATGGTTCAGATGATAAATAAAATAAGCGTGGAAACCAGCTAAAAATGTTGGACACGTGAAAGGAAAATTGTATAAATGTTAACCTTTAATTAGTTGAAGGTATTACAAGCTACCTAAGGACGATATAACTTTAGGATTACTTGGGCTAAAGTAGGAATATGGAAGAAATATAACTTACCACTTGTATTCCACACTTCTGAATTTTCACCTCTTAATTCTCCTTTCAGACATTTTTCTATGTGCGTCATAGGATCATATTCTGAAACCAGGATCTCTCGCAAGAGGGCGATGTAAGAGATGGCTAATCTCAAAGTATCAATTTTGGAAAGCCTTTTTTCGAAGGGAAAAGTAGGAACATGATATCGTAGTTCCTCAAATGCGCTGTTGATACTCAACATGCGCTTTCTTTCCCTGACATTTGCTGCATGACGTTGGACTTTATAGGGTCCCGCCGGTCCCGTGAAGTAGATGGCGCCATAGTCATATGGCTCTCCTAGTGTAGTGCCTTAGAAAATATAAAGATAGAGTTATTCTTGTTACTTATTGCGAAGTGTTTTAAAATTTTAGTATTAAAACTGTCTAAATAATGTGATCGTTTCTTTTGGCTTAGAAACATCTATACAAATGAGGTATTTGTCTTGGAAATTAATCTAAAATCTTGCCTTATGGGGAAAGGCGCCCGTATATGATTACTTTCCACCATATACCATTTTACAACGGGTTATCCTTTAGAGCACGTGTAGATTACACATTTAGGGAAATAACTAGTGTCAGTTTGCATCAACTTACAAAAGTACTTGCATTACTCAACTATTCTGTAAAGTGAAACAAAGTTGTATATCAGTCATAAGTAATTTGTTTGAGTACTCTTCCTTTCTGAGAATAAAATGTGTCTATAACGACAAGGAATTATAGGTAAAATAAAATCAGAAACGGAACAACACAAAATACAGTTCTATCACATAGTAAAAACTACTTCCCTGAATAGCAACAACAATAAAAAACCCAGAAAAAACGTGTTTATAAAATTTCTTCATTTACTGTACCTACCCATACCATAATGACTACCAAGTTGAAATTGCAAAATTACTAAATCCTCGAAGTCGTCTCAAACGTGTATATAATAAGTCAAGTGGGTAAACTTAAGTTCATTGAGTCACAATTTCCTACGTATGAATATCATATCACATCCAAGAGACTAACTCAATGTTAAAGCTTTCCTGCATGATCCATTTCAAAAGCACTGTATATATCAAAGAATAATACTGATATCCACTGAATAAACCTTATGTGATGTATTATACGAATAGAACATTTTGTTAGAATTAGTTTTGGATTATTTACACAATGTTTATTTACATTATTAGGTATAGAATGTATATATATAAGATACAGTAGGATGTGTTTTTTAATTACGTGTTTTGACGACGAGAAACTATTTCGAGAATTTTATACACTGTTCTACGCAGTTACATCTGTTCCAGACTTTTCAGAATATAAACCAATGACATTTGGTTGATATTAAATGTATCTGTAAGTTTGTTTTTATCTGTTCCTCTTTGTTTTACTTGATATTCAGTCCCACTGAAGTAGACTTTTATTATGGGATAGAATTATTCCACGGAATTGAAACTTTTTGTAAGCTGTTCCGGTTCTAACTTTCGATTTTAGTATGTCCCAGAAATTACGAACAAACACACACACACATATATATATACACAAAACGTTATCTTATCAAGCGCTTATCACAATGTTTAAGAACCAGTCCTCATGTTTTAAAAGTGGTCCAGTCCTCATGTTTTAAAAGTGGTAAAATCTTCAAGAACTCTTGCTTTCAGAGGTATAAAAGCTCGAGTTTAAGCACGACAAAACATGTGTGACTTCAAAGATGAAAATGGATTGTGATTGATGTCTTATTTATATATATATCTTTGACTATATAATGATAAAGGAAATTGATTTTGACAGCGACTTTTCTAATATTTAGGTTTATTCAGATTTTGCTGTCTGTAAAAGATAGTGGATTTGTGGTAATTTCAGTGGTATGAATATATATCCACTGTAGATGTATTGGAACATCAACTGCTATGAGCTGTTGGCAGCGGTCATCATTATCCACAAGTAATCCTCCACTTTAATAATATCCAACTTTCTTAGATCAACACCAGTACTTGAAAAAGAAAAAAAAAAGTTGTCGGTTAGCTACATGAAAGCTTCTCGCGGTCTACTTTATTCACCACCACCTGCTACTGGTAATACTGGAGTTACGTTCTGGTTGATCTGTAACATGGTCCGTCCTAAAGAATTTCAGTATAAGAGTGTGTTAATGTTTGTTTGTTGTTGTTTTTTTTCGGGGGGGGGGGATATTAAGGAAATGAAACCGCAGCATGGTCGTTTTGTTGTCGTGGCCCGTGTTTTTTCGTCCACTAAATTTACGTTGCTGACAATAATAATGAGCAAAACACAATTTTCTGTCGTTGCACGAACAAGTGAAGCTGTCCCAGTCTCTCTTCTCAAGGTAATTATGTAGTCCATAAACGTTACATTTTCTTTACAGTACTTATGCTTCTCCTCTTTGATTAAGTATTTAAATTCCAGGCAGCTGCTGCATCATATTCTGGACTAACCAGATTTGAATGTTTGTCTCGAGTTGTAGAATACAAAGTGATAAATGCTTTACTGTTTCAAACTGTTGACGTATATGAAGTTTCGTTAAAGGTACGATCTTTCACGTTTTCCCGCTTATCGTTGTGTCTAAAAACTGTTCACCAATATCGAAATCTAGTTTAATCTACTTAAAAGTCCTTCTGGTGACACAAACAGATCTATTCGGTTTTTCGTGCGTAATCTTTAATTTTTTTTTACCCCAAAAGTTTCGAAGATTTACTAGGTTAAAAATAAATTAAACGTTAGCAAAATAAAAAAAAAGTTTAAAATTTTTTTTGTTCTCGTGAAGATAGGTAATCATAATATGTTTTAAAATAGACTATTAATGATCTTACTTGTTTTTATTGTATACAGTATTTTTAAGATAATTCTATTTTGTGGTTTAAGAAAACAATACAATGATCGTAACATTTACGCGTTGATTCCTTGATATCAGTGGCATCAATAGTGTTGTTCAATAGACTGTTCAAAGCTATAAAAAATCCCCAGAATATAATTATTCTCGTTACGTTTCCCAGCAGAAACTCATCTTCAACTATATTATATAGTCCATAATAGATGCCTCCCCCGTGGCATAACGGTATATTTTGGGGACTTAAACGCTAGAAACTGGGTTGCTATAAACCTTGATGGGCAGAGCACAGATAGTCCATTGTGTAGCTTTGTGCTTAATTACAAACAAACCATAATAGACTGTATGTAGATCTAATGTCTCTCTCTATATATACATAATTTCGTCGTTGTTTAAACTGGGTTGCTATAAACCTTGATGGGCAGAACACAGATAGTCCATTGTGTAGCTTTGTGCTTAATTACAAACAAACCATAATAGACTGTATGTAGATCTAATGTCTCTCTCTATATATACATAATTTCGTCGTTGTTTAAATTGAGGAATTGTATGGGATTCAATATCATCATTTTTGTTCATCCTTTATTGGTATGTATAATTTAAAATGAAATATAGATAGTGAATTTCAATAAAACTTGTCGTATTTACTAGTTTTCAGGAAAATATATACCACAAATAACACAGCATAATGAAACATAGATTGATACATAATATACATGTTAGAAATAAATGTTTGATGGTCTGATATGGTGAAAAACCATGGCAACCATATTTCTTTTATTATATTTAATAGAAGGCGTGGATGTTCACAGTATTAGCCAATGAACGAATTACTTTGTTTTCTGCGCATTGTAGGCGGAGCTCTTTTCACATCCAGTTCAATAATTTGTGTGTTGAGGGCAGCTCGTTATTGCGTGGTTTTTCGTGTTATTCATGTTGAAAAGTCTTTTCATACGAAAATAATTCCCTTTTCTTTTTAACATTAATATTCTAAAATTCGAAATAATAGATATTAAACCTCAAGACAATGTAAACTATTACATTTACACAATAATCATTTTTATAAAAATAACGCATTTGTTTCAGAATTACTTTGTTGCTGTGTAATATATATGTATATATATATATATATATATATATAGTAAGG